ACTGCCGCCATCTTATGTTGGGGCAAGTCCCGCCCAGCGCCGGGCACGATCCAGGGGCCGCCAATGCCGGTGCAGCGCCAACCGGAGACTACCCGAGGGCTGTACCGGGACCAGAGGCCCCCGGGTCGTGCCTGGCAGCGGCATTAAAGTCCCTGTTCCCGTGCAGCAGAACCTCTCACCGTTAAGCATCAAGAATTGAGCTTGGGCAGCTCCCTTGCAAAAAACCCCAAAACAAAACCCCAACCTGAAAATCCCTTTTCTAAGCCCAGAAAAACCTCGCGGACCCTGTCTGAGCGATCCCTGCCCCGGCTGTGGGGACAAGCCCTCAAAAGGAAGTGACACCACAGTGTCACCCTGGCGACCCCTTGATGGCCCCCAGCAGCCGCTGCCCAGCTCTGCACGGGCAGAGAGCAGGGAAGGAAGCACAGGGGCTGGCAGTCTGTGTGCTCTTTTATTACAAGATGTTCAGCGTTATTTAAAAAAACAAAGTCCCCAAAGGCAGAACGTAGCTGCCAGCCACCACAGAGAGCCAGGACACGTCAGCATGGGGGCAGGATCAGTGTTTCTTGCCATAGATCGCGGCCAGCGCTTTGCGGGCACTGGAGATCTGCTGCTCCAGCCTCTCCCGGGTGGCTTTGTTCCCAGTCTTTTTCAGCATCGTTTCCATCTCCTCCACCACGGCTCTGTGACCAGCAGTGTTGTGGAAGACGCGGATGGCCCGGTCCCCACACGACACCAGGTAGCGGTTGCTGGTGTCAAACGCCAAGTCTGTTATGCACTGCTCGTGCACAGCAGGGAAGCGCTCCTCCTCCTCTCCTCTCCTTGTGTTGTACACAACAATGTCTGCACCACTGGAGATGGCAACAACACGAGCATCAGGGGACAGGGCGATGCGGCAAGGCTCTGTGACCTTGCACTTCCCCGTCAGAAGCAGGTATGGATCCTGCTGCTTCTTATATTCCACGTCCGTGTCCCAGAACTTCCACGTCCCATCCTTTGAAACAGTCGCCATCCTGCAGCCAGGAGACAGAGCACAGGTAAGCACAAGGAAATGGGGCGGCACCTTGTCCCCTGCCATGCCCGAGAACCGGGAGTCCTTCACAGAGAGCTCTTTTGGGGAGCCCCAGTCTGAACGCGCAAACCACCCTCATCCTTTGTGGAGGACGCTCACCGCAGGAGGCATCCCCGAGGACACCCAGGTGGCAGGAGCCAGGCCGCGTTTTGCCGCGCAGGGCAGCGTTCCCCCACCCTGCGCAGGGGTGCACAAGCAGCTGGACAGGGCGAGCTCCCATGTCCCGAGAGTGAGCCCGACTGCACCGCTTCCTGTGGCAGATCACACACTGACCTCCTCGAGTCGTTGGAGAAGGAGAAGCAAAGAACGCCAGCACTGTGGCCTTTCAGCTCAAAAGCCCTGGCCACCTCCCGGAAGTCTCCGTTCTTTCCAAAACACACCTCCCACACCTTCACGTCAGGGGTAAAGCCACAGGATGCCACAAACCTGGGTGAAAGAGCACCGCTTCAGCTGGGCTGTGAGGGCAGCCCCGTGGAGCTCTCCTCCGCCCTCCGGAGCAGGGCAGGAGCAGGGGTAGCCCTCCTACGCAGAGGCTCTGTGAAGGCAAAGCTACCCAGACACCCACGTTCAAATCTGCGCTTTGGACAGCTGAAAACGCTTTCTCTTTACACTGAAACCAGGCTGGTAAAGGGCATACTAAGGAAGGTCACCAGAGACCAGATCAGCAACCCCACAACTTGGGCAAGAGAAACTCCCAGGCTGAAATAAAGAAGTGACGTGCTTTTGATCCCCAAGCTTACTGAGGTTGGAGCATGGCAAGCCTTCCTGCAGCAACAAGTTGGAGACAGAGTGGAAAACATGATTTTCCTGATAAACAGTCTCTCAGGAATAGTTTTAAATTTTATAATTAACCTCTAAAAGGTTAAAAACAAGTTAGAAAAGCTGGTCGATTTGCATACGCTGTTTGTGCTGTCCCACCTACGGTACCCGAGGGCAACGCTGTTCTCCTCAGCCCTTCAGGCAATTGTTAACAGCAACAGCAGCACTGAGGCACAACGGGAACCCACCACGTGTCTGAGACTACGCAGGGGAAAGTCAGTGCTCCTGGAGAGGCTGCTCTCGGGGGCTGGAACAGCTTTTTAAGATATGGGATCTTCAGAAAATTGCATTTAAGTAACGGCTAACTGCTGATGACCTGAACTGATGGTGTCCTCTGGGAAGGGGCGAGGTTCCTGTCCACCCCTGCAGCCTCCCACTCCACATCAGAGCGGCCTGGAATGGCTCCTGCCCTCACCTCCCACAGGGCGACACCATGGCATAGGCATTGTTCATCTGGTTGGTGTTAATGCTGGCCAGGACTTCACCCTTCGGGCTCCAGATCAGGATGGTAGTGTCACTGGAAGCTGTCATAATAAACTTTCCTGGGGAGGAAAAGGCAAAGATGAGAACTTCCAGGTCTAATGCTGCCACAGACTCAGCAAAGGCCTGGGAGGGTCCCTAAGCAGGGAAACCTCTCCCTGCACCCGGACAGTCAAGAAAACCATGAGCAGCACCAAAATTCAAGCAGCATAAATTTCCCAGCACACAGCAAGGAGCAGAATCATAAGACTCAGCTCCCGGCCATGCCTTAGTGCACCCTTGGCTTCAGCAGCCATCAGCAGGCACTCGGATACCACACGTACTTCTCGCCCCAGCACCTTTCAGGTCCCCTGTGCAGAGCTCAGCAGTGAGCCAGCATCGCAGGAGCCATGTGGCAGCTCCAACCTTCCCCAGGTGGTTAAAACACAGCTTGAGGTGTTTGTAGATGCCAAGTCACAAACTGAGGGCAGCTGGCTGACTACAGGTCACACTGCTGTCATCTACCACTACTGCTTGTGTCAGCATTTTGCGCTCCAGCTTGTTTCCACTTGCAATGCTTTCCCCTTTTCCATCTCAGCCCGGACAGGGAGTTCACTGTTTACCTCCAGCTACTTGTTGCAGGTTTAAGTTTTCACTTTCACAGCTGAACAGAGGTGTCAGTGAACATTTTCTCTGCTCTCCTATTACAGAGGTAAGCTTACATCCAGTTGCTTCCACACACCCGAAGCATTGATCCATCAAGCCCTCACTGCTAACGCATACACACCCCCAGTCTCCATTCCAGAAGATCCCACAAGTCTAAGACAGTCCATATGAGCTCACTAGAGAGATTTGTGACTGGTTAGAAACAATCTGGTGAACCAGAGAGCAGCCAGCCTTTCAATATTGAGACGAGACCTCCCTGAAAATACAAATTAAGAAACTGTGTGTATCGGGGAGCTAATTCTGTGCTTACAGGAATACAGTCTTGCCTGAAACCACCACCTTCCAGTTCACTCAGTAGCAAACAAAGGCTAAAAAGAAACATCTATGAGACTACAGAGACTCAAATACTGGTGCAGAAATGGGCCTTGAGAATGCTGAAAACCCCAACACTTTCAGCCCAGCAACTCTTGCTTTATAAGGAAATCAAAGCCAATCTGGAGCCTCAAGAAGTGAGCATCCAATTTCCTTACCTGTCTCTGCAATTCCTATGTTAATGACAGGAGCCTTGTGCTTCTTTGGGAAGTCCCCAGAAGCTGCAGTGAAGGTGAAGCTGCCATCATCCTTCTTAGTCATTTTATAGACACGAATAGTCTCGCCATTCGCCAGCCAAACAATGAATGCCCTGTGGACACAGACACTCTGAACTGCTAAGAAACAGGCTGCCTCAGCTCAGCCTAGCTATAACAGGCCATTCAATGGCACCTGGGGAAAAGGAAACACTGGCAGATAAAAAGCTGAGTGCTTTACGAGGGCACCAAGTTCTCTTCCTGTGTCAGCTCAACTGCAACACTGAATGGAAAAGAACAGAACAGATTACTCTGTATCTGGAAACAAGATCCCCTCCTCTCTCTGTAAGAGTTCACTTTACAAAGCGCCAAGGCATGCTTTCCAACCAGCTCTCCCAGCCAGCAAGAGCTGTCTCCCCAGCCCCCAGAGAGGCTCAGCAGCTCACCCCAGCCGCAGGGCCTGCCAGCAAGTGCCCTACCCAGCACCTTCCATGGAGGTGGCAAGCTGAGCACTGGGGTAATTCACCCTCAACACCACATTAAAGTGCCTACTACTGCTTTCATCGATCAGTACTGCCAAGCCCCTATGAGCGACGCAGCCCCTGTGCAGCCCAATGCCCTGGTGTCAATACACCCCAAGGGGGTTCTGGTCTGGGGGTGGTGGGGGTGAGTGGAGACCGGGCCCTACCGTGAGTCGGGGCTGAGGCGGACGAGCTCGGCGTGGTCCAGCCCCACATTGGCGCGCAGACAGCGATGCTCACGTCCCGCAAAATCCCGGGTGCTCCACAGCCGGACCGTGCGGTCATCGGCGCACGACGCCAGGTACTTCCC